CTCCATTTAGTCATACAAAAAATACCTTAAATTTTAAAACATAGATAATATTATAGTGGTTGTTTTTTAAAAATGAAAGCCTTTTTCATCAAATTTGCTACAAAGTCATCACATTAAAGCACTCATTCTCATTTGTCCTTTTGTAGAGTTAGGATGATGAAGCAGAAATTTTACAAAAGAAAATTGGTTCCAATTTGGAATGTTTTATGAAATATTCCCTCCCAGATCCTACATGAAGCTGCAGAATATTTTGTCAAAAAGGCCTGCAGTAGGGCGAACCCCTTTGAAACTCCTCTCCATGACAATGTTCTTTAATTAGAAGAAATCAAGAACAGACTAACAGTGCCAAATGATACCACTGTTAAGATAATTAATTGAGCAATTTTCATAAGACCATTTTATGATCTTGACTAGTCTATGACCTATGGAAAAAAGAGCAAAAAACAGTAAGTGGTGAACATTTGGGACACACATCTTTAAAATCACTTCAAGAGTTTTTTTTTTTCTTTTCTCTCTAAACTATTTCATATTTTCACACAACTTTAAATTCTCCTAAGGTCAATCTTCTATTGATGAAGATTCTCATTAGAGTCTGTAAGTTTTACCAGAGGTTCTCTAAATCTTGAATATTATGAAATGAATCTTCTATGCAATAATTTACATTTTAGTATTCTTAGAATAGAGATCTTATTAATCCACCAAATCCAAAGGCAGTTTGGGGACCATGTAAGTTCATTGGCTTTATACAACATGACATATTTTTAATTGTTTCACATTTTGCATATCAAACATGAAAAAACAAAATTTGTTATTCTATTAATATACATTGAAGGATTTTTTAAAACTTCAACCTTTATAGAGTGTTAATATTTTTAATCAGTTTTATTATGAAACTCTCCCAGGTCTTTCAAACCATAAATGCTATGGTGATAGATCTAAAATATAATCGTGTTCATTAATACCTAAATATGTTAAACCAAAACTCATATAATTTCAAAAAGTTGCATGTATTTTTATTGTTGAAATGAGAGCACATTTTCCCACAGGAAACTCAGGAGTGGGAAAAAGGCTAATTCTCTGATCAGTCCATAAATCCATCTGCTCTTTGATGAAGCTGCAGTAACAAAAGTTTCAGATGCCAGGACCTGGGAACCTCATAGTATATGGAAGAAAAAGTAAGGTTAAAGCAGATGGTAGCTTCTCTTTTCTGAACACAAGATTTTCTTGCTGAATGGGTAATTCTGCACTAAGACAAGAAAAAAAAATGCAGTCTCCTTTAATGGAAAATTAGAATTAGTTCAATGTGACATTGTTAGTGTTTCCCTTTTGTTTCACTAACTGAAGTGATTATGCCTTTAGATTTCTTTTAGAAGTAGTTCTCTGTTGGCAAGTTACTCATCAAAAAGACAAGGGAATTTGCCAAAACAGAAATCTGTGGGACACATCATTTCAAAACTTGTGCTGTGGGCCTGGACCCTAGGATGATGCATTTTTTTCAAACTTCCCTGATGCATCTAATCAGATATATCATATATGCAGAATCCCCAATCTAAAACCATTCAATTGTGTTTTTACTCAGTGATCACTAATGACACTACAGCCTCCTAGGACAGCAAAAGAGACTTTTTGTTAGAATGTAGTTTGAAGTTTAGAATGTAGGGACTATTTGTAATTTGAAGGATTTGTACCATGCTCCAAAATGAAATATTGTTCTCTGTCCCAAGGGATGATAGGGTGGCTATACACATAAAATGTTGAACAGTGTACTGAATTAATAAAACCACAGTTTAAAGTTTCCTCCTCAATTGAATATTGAGAGTATAACAAAACCTTTTAACCTGGTATGGATATTACCAAAGTGCTATGTTTATTTTTTATCATACCAATAATGTGTGGTTCCAAAGATCATTCTTTTAATTAATGCATCAATAGTTCAATGAGCTTCTAATTTGAAAAGAAAATTCTCTTTTAGTTCAAGGAACTTTCTTTTTCATCTAGAAAATTATTTGAGTAATAACATTTAATACGTTTTAGTTCTTTATAAGCAAGGCTGTGATCTTATATTCTAATGGCATCACTATTTTTAAAATATTTTACATTAAGAATTTTGTAATATTTTGTATATTTCTCTCTGTCCTCAGATCAAGATGTATAACAATTCTTTGAAGGCATGTGTTGGGCAGTTCCGAGTATGTCTTTTTCACCTGCCTTAGGACAGAGCAAAAGAAAATTCCTAATTCTAAAAGATTCATTTTACAGAGATGCTTCTTTAAACCCAAGTCAAACTATGTAGCTGGAATATTTTCCTAAAGAAAAATCTGAGTTGTCTTGTCATTGTAACTCTCATAGTTATTGGATAATAATTTACATAAGTTAACTTCATATTTGGTCACCACTTCAAAGTATTTTTTCTCAAATAGCATTGTTCTAGGAATAATCCATGCTATCCGTCTCTCCCCTTTGCGGTCCTCAGGGAGCAATGATGGACATCATTCAGCTGCTGCTGCCTTGTCAGTGTTCCCTGTGGAGTGGCAGCTGAGGGAAAATGAATTCTGGGTGCAAAATGTCAACAGAAAGGGATTCTTAAAAATAATCTTTAATGAGGATGGGGTACATGCAGTCCAGTGTTCTATGGCAGATTCTCATTAGCTCTATTTTCTCTGACTGCCACAGATATTTAAATAATTGTTGGAAAAGAAAGAAAAAAATAAGCAAAATACATAGGATCTGGGAGATTGTTTTGTTTCTTTTTTTCTCTTCCCCACAGACTCACCAGAGACTAAGAAGCAATATGCTATTTTGGCAACACTTCTTACCACCCCATAAATTGATTTAAATTGGTCCATAAAAACTAAATTATGTGATATAAAAGTTGTGTATCAGTTTCTAGTAGGCATGTACACACATATGAATCTTATTCTCAGTGCTTTAAGTATAAATGCATTGTTTATGTAGGAAATATTAAAAGTAACCACACTTAATATATTTACATATATACCATGTAATCAAATAATTTCCAATAATTTTGTGTCCTGTGTAGGTTTCCAAGTAGTAAAAGATCTGGAAAACAATTTATTTAAAAGGAACTATTTAGACATCTTAATGAAAAGAATATCTTAAATTCATTACATCTAACTTAAGCGAAGCAAATAAATATTTTCTTGACCAAAGAAGAACTAGTTTAATTTTACTGTTAACAATACAAGAACTTCAAAATAAAAGTAAACTCATGCATTTGTATTTTAAACAACATCTTTATCTTATTTAATTAAAACTATTACGTGATTAGGTTTTTAAATAAACAAATTATCTTAAGTCTTAAGTATAGAAATAAAAGTTAACATATTTATGTGTCTGACCAACCATTATAGGTTAAATTTTGATTACTTACCTAATACTACCTTTATTTAATTGATGATAGCTATTCTCAATAGGAAACCTTGCTTTAGCAAATGCATTTGTTTAGCTGATGAAATATTATTTGTGTACTTGTGTCTACCTCTGTGTGATATTTGAGCGTCCTTTTAAAAGATAAATAGCTCTTAATGTAGAAATGAAAACAGCAAAATGAAAATGGAATAATAATATAATGTATCTTAAATAAATCTGGTTACTGATAGGAATAAAATATAGTATTTGTAACTTGAAAATAAATATTATTTGAAAATGTCCTAGTGTTATGTCCTTATCAGTAAAATATAACCTCAAAGCCATCAGAGATACTAAAAATGACCATCCCAAAACATGTTCATATTCCTACTTACTGGATAAGTATTTCGACATTCCCCAAAATAACTGGCATACTTCTTTATAAACTTAAGATAACCTTGGCATATTTTAACTAGTTTCATGTTGGAAAAGGATGATCTAAAATGCAAAATATTTTAAGATATAATTAAACATATTAGTGAATCAGAAGATTAACTTTTTGTATTCTATCATAGTACAATATTCCATTAAAATATTTTCCTTCATTTATTACATTCATTTTCTATCCCAAATATTCCATAAATGAAATAATTTAAAAAGAGATGATAACTAATATTTTTAATCTTTCAGGGTAATATAATCATCTTAAAAATGAAAGAAAGATTTAAGGTTCCAAAGTTTTAATTAAATCCTATATTCAAATATTACTTTGAAATAAGTGAAAATTACTCAGTTTTTTGATCACAAAAAGAAAAAAAAGGATCTTTCTTCCTTCTTTTCTTCTTTTTTAAAATATATATTTTAAAATATGTACCTTTCATCCTATAAATCAAAGTTTACAAATATTACTTTTACACTGAAGTTTACTAATATTGTCAATTTGGGGAAGATAAAATTACAAAAGTAGATAAAATACAAAAGTATACTGCATGTTTCAGATCATGTTAAGTATAATGAGGAAAATTATTGTCATTTTTCTGTCCAAAAGCTTAATCAGTAATTAGATGTTAAGATTCTTTTTTTTAACATAAGCGTCTCAGAGTATCCAATTCCTTGATTTTAACTCTCACATGAAATTATTCAATTGCTACCAGAGTAAAAGAAAATTTTATTCTGCACCCTCTGTAGGACACATCCTTTACAGAAATAGGTTAGGTCCCACATTCTAGTCATGAGTCTCAGAGTGTGTAGTGACCTTGACCTAAGAATGGACTTAGGGAAGGAAAGATTCAACAAAGCCCACAAGGTGGAAATAAAAGGCCCTTAGTAGCCCTCTAAAAACTTCACCACTTTATATTTACATAGAACCCTTCCATAAAGAACTTCAGTTGTCTATTCCACCTCCATTTAAATGCTATAGCATTTCTGAAGTGAGGGTATAAGTTTGACATCACTCTTATTGAAGAGAATCAGTCACCTGTCAGCTGTAGAGCTTCCCAAAGTCATCAATTGGCAAAAAACGCTGAGAGTTCTTTTTTCTCCAACTTTGTTGCCTATTAAATTCAATGAGTTTTATAATTTGATCATATTCTAAATTGTGTGTGCTTTCAGAGACTGTGAGAATGTACAAATAGCTTTAATAGTATTTTTATTTATAATTTGGACATAGACTCCTTTACAAATCTTTGGAATTGCTATCATTTTTTTTTTCTGGAGTGCTTTTCTCTTAAGTATGACACACAAAATTGTTCAATTGTTATTCTATCTCTTAATAGAAATTCTACATCTCAAGAATTCAACATTTACTCCCAACATTTAAGTAACTCCAAACTCTAATTCAAAAACCACTTTAAAATACTTCAAAATGCAACCTTAGATATGTTTGAACCCATTTTATATTTCTATAAATAAATATTAATTCCCATTTTATTATACTTCTTTTCCAGTATATTTACATGTATGGGCCTGTTACCCCTGTTTGGAGTCTGATTTTGATCTTTGTCAGTTTAATTTTACTGCATCTGCTTCTTGCCCAATATCCTCTTAGTGCCTCGGGCTGCTTCCTCCTCTGAATGTTTACCTTGCTGCTCATGTTTGGACAGTGCCTCTTTGTCCTCCTTTTCTTTATCCTTCTCTTTGGTTTTCGGTGATGGTTTCTGTACTTCTTTTACTTTTGCAGCTGTTTGCTTCATTTTCTCTGGTTTCCCACCTTTTGCTTCCTTTTTAGTCTTTTCATCAGTCTTTTCTTTAGCCTTAGCCTTCTTTTCTTCTGTTTACAGTTAAGAAACATTAGATTATTACTTTTTTAATTTACCAACAGAATATTTCTTCTGTAATTGCTACATAAGCATAATTTTTAGAAGAAAGAGGAAAGGTAAAAAAAAGGAACAGGAAACTGTAATTTTGACATAAATATTTGTGATTGTTATCAAAGTTTAATGCAATGTATGAAGGGCTATCTTAAACTTATAGCTTACCTGCAAAATACACCTCTTTTTTAATTAAAAATGCTGCATTTTATATAATCAAGAGAGATTAGACTACATTTAAGTTCAGAGACTTTTCTTCTGACAAAATAATTTTGGAAACAGCAAAACCAGGTTCTTGCTATGGAGTCCCTCAGAGATATCTTATACAGAGACTCTCCAAGGAGGAAAATTATGCTATATATATATTATCCAAAATTATTTTACCATAAATTTCTCATACAAATATTACCCACTTACTTCATAAGCTTTTAAGATTCCAAACTCTTTGTGGATTCTGTGACTATACTTGGGATTTTCTTCTACATTCTATGAACCATTTCTAAATATCCTTTGCTTGCTTTTTGCTTTTTCCTACAGCAAACTCATACATATCATGACTGGAAAAAAAAATCTGCTTCCTATTTATGACTTGAATCAACACCGTTCTAGAAACCCACACTGAAATGTTTATTAGGGTCTGTCTGGAGTGAAATTTCCCCTGGAATGGCCAACAGCCAAATTTACACAACTCAAAAAGCCCTTCCAGAGAATCTATATTGGTCTGAGCTCATAGATATTTGATGAATCTTTACCAGCACAGTAATATTATTTTCTAAAGAAATATTTAATGCAGTATTTAAAACCCTGAGATATTTGTTTTCATTCTGTTTCTTTTCACAGCACCTCTCCAAAAGTTTCTTTTCTTCCACCATTCGACTTCATTTTTCTTGAATGCATTATGCATTTTTCCCATGCTAACATTGTCAAACTGCAGTGTATATTTTCCATATATTCTATATATCAAAATTTCACCACATTCAATTCACATGTAAAAAATTGGCTTTGATATTGAATTTAATCATTTCTTCCCCTGAGATTTCATTGACCTGAATTTTTATTAAAGCATTTTATTTCCTATTGTATATTTTGAATTACAGATGATTGTTCACTTATCTGTGTTCCTTACCACACTTATAAGCAACTTGAAAATAGGAACTCCATTATTCAACTTTGTATCACCATTATGTCTAGTACAGTGCTTTTTTTCAGACAGAAACAGAATAAACGTATGCTTAATTGATGGAGTAAATATTTCATTATATTCAGGTCATATATATAACAGTGATAGATTAAATATGTAAATAGAAATGTTTAGAATAAATGTATTAAATCTTGGAAAACTTGTTAACATGATTTTTGGTTTATGCTTTGTTATGTGAAATTGTTATATAATCCTTTGTAGACTGACAAAAATTTATGATTGGCTTTATACTATACAATTAAAAAATATTAAATTTATATCTATTTGTAATTTCATAAAAATTTATACAGAGACAATTTTCATAGAAACAAGGATTATTATAATCATTGATTTTAAGTATAAAAATGGTAAAATTTTCCCTACCTATTTTGAAATTTATCAGAGACTCTCATCTTTGAAATAGATAACTTTGTCTTCAATAGAAAAAATAAGAACTCCATAATGAGGTGAATATAATGAGAAAAATAATGTGAAACTAAAGCAATAGCAAATTTCTACTTGTTTTGATCAAACTGAATCAATATTCTTAAATTTATGACAAATATTTTCCCTCATTTTTAACAAAAAGAATTTAAGAGACATTCATTCAGGATTGATAAAGCAAATATATATATATATATATATGTGTGTGTGTGTGTGTGTGTGCGTGTGTGTGTGTGTGTGTTGTGCGAACTCATGTGTGTGTGTGTATCCATGTTGTATTTAAATAACCTCATTTTAGTTAGGTAGATAATTAATTCATGACATTTGTCAAATACAAAACAAAATGGTTTAATCAAAAGAATGACATCTGCATATTTTATATAATTTTGCAAGTAGCATTGCCCATTTATAATTTTATAAGAATAAAATGTCTGTCTCATGCCAAAGTATAGAAATATGTTATCTAATAAACATACTATGGTTCTACCTATTTTTGGAATTAGAAAATACCTAATTCCATCTCTCATTCATTAAGTAACTACAAATTGCTTGACTTCTCTATGCCTCAGTTTTCCTGCATTTAAAATAAATCATCATTGTAGCTGCCTCTTCCTCTAAGAATGCTGTGGAAATAAGCAAGATAATGAACAACAATAACACAACAACAAAACTGAACACTGCAAAATAAGTACATAAATTCCTAATATTGAAAATACATATGTTACATTATTAGAGCTCTTTGAAACTTCCTTTTAATTTACCCAGAATTTAATATATAGCAGGAGGTACTACATTGTACTAATTCTACATATGAGTAATCCAAGAAACAAAAGCCATTTTGGTAAAGATGGAACAACCAAATGAGTCAGGAATAATATCGGTAAAGCCAGAATGTCTAACCAATTTCCTAAGAACACTAACTGGCATAAAGTTATAAATATTATCCTGTGGAAATGATACAAAAATATATCTTAAGACATATGGGAGCAGATATAAATATACACAGAGCCAGCTAAAGTAATACAGTCTTCCTGAACATGGTCACAACAGCAGTAGCCTCCCCCACTTCATCAAACACAGACATCTTAAGACCTGCTATTTCCAGGCCAGTTAAAATAGTCTGTTTCAAACTTGGCTCACTTCATTCACCTTCTCATTCCATCATTGTCTTCTTCATCTTTCCTCTTTATAATTTTTAATGAACTCCAGATATAGGCTAGTTCTGATACAGGACCCTATACCTTCTCCAGGGTAGACAATAAAATACCCACTGTCCTCCAAGTGAAAGTTCTGAGGTGGACTATTTAGTTGGTGTCCTTGGACAGACTGTGTTTGAAAGAGAGCTAGAAATACTGTGTTCCATAAAAGTGCCTCTGGGAATAAAAGCTCTTTCTAAGGAGACTCACTTTCAAGTTTATATTTATGTCTGATTTAAATGTTACATATTACAGTTTAGACCTATTAAATCCTATTCTCTTTTCCTAGAAATCACAATGCATACAAAGAACATTTCCTATATGTTTCCTGTTCCTAAAACAACATAGACATATAAAATGAAAATAAATTTGTGTGTGTGTGTGTGTGTGTGTGTGTGTTTTATAGTTTACATCTATCTTCTCTAGAAGAATGTATGTAAATAGAAAGCATTTGTAGCAGGCTGACTCAGGATGGTGCCCAAAGATTCCTGCCTTTTGTACCCTTGCATAGTCTGCTCCCTGTGAATACAATTTGACCTAGAAATATGCTAACCAATAGTACACTGCCAAAGTGAATGAATGAGACTTGCATGATTAGTCAACATGAAATTGTGATGTCTTCATGCTGATTCTTTCTCTTGCTAGGTCTAATGAAGTCAGCTATCATATCAGTCATACTCGTGCAACAAGGAACTAAGGGATACCTCTAGCCAACAAGCAGCAAAAAACTGAGGCCTTCATTCAAATAGCTATGAGAACTGAATTTGCCAATGCCCTATAAATGAACTTAGAAATGATCTTTGTCCAAGTGAGCTTTCAAATGATACTGCAGCCCTGGTTAATACCTTGTTTTCAGTTTTGAACAGATTGTGAAGGAAAGTACTGAACTAGTCCATGCCCAGGTATTGGACCCACAGCCTCAAAGTTTGTGGTCATGTTTTACACAACAATAAATAACAAATACAGCATTCAACACATACTTCTTGAAAAGACTTATTTAATTATCTTTGGAAAGAATACTTGATTTACCTGTAGGTCACCTGGGTTTCTGACTTAATCCAATTATATACTAGCAATATGACCTGACCAAACTGTTTTGTCTTTCTAGGGGTTAATTTTTTTTTCACCTATTAAATTCAGTAATTAATTTGGAAAATCACTAAAATCTCTACTAGCATTTAGATTTCATATACACACACATACATACACACACACACACACACACACACACACACACATATATATATATATATACACACATGTATGTAATTCATTTTCACTCACATCTGTGGAAGAGAGCCAAATAAAATTAAAATGCATTTATTTAGCTATAAATTTAATCTTGAGTCTAAATTCATGCTACATTTTTAAAAAGCAGTCTCATTTTTTAGCTTCAATAAAATATCAGTTTAGCTTATAGAAAATAGTTTAAAATATATTTCCCCTAAATGGTCTAATATTTAAAATTTTTGAATTAACAAACTGAATGTTGAAAATAGATTCTTTCTCCTAAACAATTAGATTCTTGAACATGATAGATTATAATTTGTAAAATATACTGATTACAACTTTTATTTTAAAATACGAGGAAGACAATTAAATTTAGGGGATAAGGTTTAACTTCCAGTTCATATTTATATTTTTCTAACACAAAATAATTGGTAACTAAATTTAGAATAGATCAGTTTACTCAATAAATCAGTTTACTTCATCTTCCAAAATACAAATTATAGTGATATTCTAATTGATTTGTATGGGTATATTATCAAGATACTTTTAGTGTTCAAAGTCTTAACATAATGATGAAGTTATGTGCATGAAAAAAAAATAAAACTCTGGGTTTGTATTTCCTGAAATCAATCACAAGATGTAATACTTGTTAAAAACTACAAACCAGATATGTTAGTTTCTTATTGTTGAAGTAACAAATTATCACAAACAGTTGCTTAAAACAATGCCCATTTATTATACCCAAATTTACATGATTTTAAAATGTTGGCTCACTATGGCTCAACTGGGTTCTTTGTTTATGGTTCATAAGGCTAAAATTGGTTCACAATTTTAAATTGGTCTAAAATCAAGCTATCAACAGAGTTGTTTCTTAGTGAAGTCTTTGGGAAAGATCATTTCTTACATTTTCCATGTGGCTAAGGAGGGCAAGTCCTCACACTTCAACTCTCCCTGCTTCTGTTGCTAAATCTCTCCGCTTCTGAATCCTTTGCAATAGCATTTTGAGCCCACCTGTATAATCCAGGATAATCTCCCTGTTTTAGATCAAACTTCACTACTCCTGCAAAATTCGGTTGGCCATGTCATGTAACATCATGATGGGAATGACACCAAAGGGGCAAAGTCATGGAACAAAATTCTCCCAATCAAGTATGATGAAGCTCTTCATTTTCCTCTCCTATTTAAGATGATCATTTATCACAGTCAGTTTTATTATTCTTTAGATAGTAAAGTTTAAATATAGGGTTCATTCTTATGTAAATGCAAATGAAATACTGAATGGTAACAAACATCTGATTCTCTATTGCCTAAAATGTAATCTTTTAAAGTAAAAAGTAGTCAATTGTGGAAATAATAAAGTAAGTTTTACCTTTTGCTCCTGCCTTTGTCTCTGGCTTTTCTTTCTTCTCAGTTTTTTCCTTGTGAGTTGCTTAAATAGAAAAATTTTACATTAGTATATACTTTAATAGATTTCAAAACCAAGTTTTTCCTTGTCCTTCGTTTTATAACCATCAAAATCATGGACTGCTTTGAAGATTTATGACATTGATGAATGTAATTCAGGAAAAAAGTTACAAGTGTAATAATAACTTCATAGAATTCAATGTAAAACTTAACATTGATTTAGAAAGCATTTTGAAACCTAGATCCTCCCTTCCTTTTTTAAGTCATTATTCCAAGAAGATAAAGCTTTCAGGGAAGGAAAAAAAAAAGGAGCAATTTAATAAGGATTTGTTGAAAAATGTATTTCATGTCAGGAATAAAAACTCTATTTAGGATTAATAGCAAGAAGTATTTAAATCAGGACTAAAGATGTGATTAAGCTCAGTGTTTCTCAACAGGAGCACAATTGACATTTGGGAAGAACAATTCTTCACAGTAGGAGACTGTCTTATGCTTTGAAAAAAAAAATGTTTAGCCTCTCTGGTACCTGCTTCCCAAATGCCCTCCAGTCCAATGTCATTTTGACAACAAAAAATTTTTCAAAGATTCCCTAGAGGGGAAAACTTTAGTTGAGAACAAACAGTAGTATGAAGAGTAATTCAAAAAAGGATTATTGATAAAGTATATTAATTAATCATTATTCCACATGATACCTGAGATATTTTCTCCTTATTTAGCTAATTAACAAATCAACATATAAATGTGTTTTAACTGGCTTTTTACTTAGATACACTGATAAAAACTTGTGTATCTCAATAGTTTAAGTAAATGTTATCTGAGAAGTACAATAGCATGTTTAGCATATTTTTATATTTCAAATATATTAAATTGAGTGTTTTGTTGTTTGCTCTAAATATTATATAGTTCTCAGAATTTATACACTGTTTTTTGAAGTATAAAAATAGGACTTAGGTAAATTCTAAAATATTAAGAGACAAAATACAAGATTTAGTTAAATAGACGGTTTAAGGAAGAAGTCAAATTAAAGCCTCAAACATTTCTCCATCTATATAAGAACAGTAGTATACATTAGTTTTACTTATAAAAGGAAAAAAAAAAAGACATTAGGAGGTGGGGCTTAATAGGAGGTGTTTGGGTCATGGTCGGTCCCGTCTCAGGAACAGATTAAGCTATTCTCATTAGAGTGAGTTAGTTCTTACTCAGGAGAGTGAGTTGTTAGAGAGTTTGACTTTCTTGACTCTCTCCTTGCCTTCCACCATGTGATAATATATCAGGAAGGGCTTCACCACAAGCTTTTTATTTGAATGGAGCCCAGGAGCCCTTTACCACTGAATTACATCCCAGTCCTTTTTATTTTATTTTATTTTCAGACAAGGTATCACTAAATTGATTAGGCCCTTGCTAAATTACTTAGTCTGGTCTCAAACTTCTGATTCTTCTGCATTAGCCTCCAAAATTACAGGAATTATAGCCTTATACCACCATACCCAGCCCAATCTATAGTATATTTTATAGCAGCAGGAAACAGACTAAGATTCCCTCTATTAATAGTTATCCCAAAATCTTAGAGAAACCATGCTAGCCTTATAGAAAGTTTAAAGCCCTGTCCAGTTGATGACCAAGTGACCCTGATAGAATACACAGCTCCTGAAAGAGCAGGGACCTTCTCCAGGGATGCAGCATGCCCAATAGTCACCTAGGCTACATTTGGGGTTATGGATACCAGAGTGAACAATGTTAGCAAAAGGAACACTATGATAGGATGCACAGGGTATAATCCACGCAAGATCAAGGTTTACATTAGAATATCTCATAAAACAAAAATACCCAGCTGGGCATGGTGGCATGAGCCTGTAATCCCAGTGGCTCAGGAGGCTGAGGTAGGAGTATCCCAAGTTCAAAGCCCGCCTCACCAATGGTGGGGCACTTAGCAACTCAGTGAGACCCAGTCTCTAAATAAAATACAAACTAGAGCTGTGGTGTGGCGTAGTAGTTGAATGCCCCTGAGTTCAATACCTGGTACAAAAAAAAATAGAAACACAAATACCCATTTAAAGGGATACAGTAAATAAAATAATACAACACAACATTTTATTTATTTTCAATTTAGATAAAATTTCATATAATATTTATAATTTAAATTTCAAAAATCTTCATTATTTCAACAACAAAAAGAATTTAGCTACTGTGAAGGTTGAAAAAAACACATAAGAAATACCAGTTTATTTCATTTAGTCAGAGTACATAAAGCCTGGTGCTCATAATTCTGTGTAACTCACCAGTAGATAAGAAATTGACATCTTTTTCAAGAACAGAGAAAGAAGATGGTTATATTGAAATTGATGGAAATTATCACTAAGTAAACATTAATAAAAAGATAAATATTGAATTCAAATATTCAAGTGTACACGTACAATAAGTAATATTGAAGCATGTTTCAATGGATATTATTTAAATGTCATAAGTATTCTCCCATATTCCACCTAAATGGAATGGTTCGAAATGCAAGAAAACTAAGCAGGATATGCATACTGTGGATACATAAATGAGCTGAAATATCCTAGACATGATCCTCTTTAAAACAAAAACAAAAATAAATTAGAATCTTACTTCACATTGCACATTCAAATGGAATTTTAATGAATTCAAGTCAAATGTAAAATATGGAACATTCTTTAAATTTAAGGAAAATATTAGTAGCTATCAAATTAATCTATTTTATTTATTTTTAGTTGTTGCTAGACCTGTTTTTTTTTTTAATTTATATGCAGTGCTGAGGATTGAACCAAATGCCAAGCAAGTGTACTACCACTGAGCCACAGCCCCAGTCCCTCAGATTAATCTTTGATGAAGGTTCAAAAGCAGAAAAAGCACAAGAAAATATCAATATATCTAGTCACATGAATGTCCAGCAATCTAAACACATACACTAATACATTCAACATGTGTGTTCACAGGGATAGAAAACCTAAGATTGACTGCAAAACTAGCAGAAACATATTTTAAAAAGTTATGAACTAAGAGATCTACATGCCAAAATCACACCACTAGGAAAAGTGGGCAATGATTATGAACATTTACAAAAGGAAATATACATCACTAAAAGTTATATTAAAATTATTCAGCCTATTAGTAGCAATCAGCCCTAAGATAGAGTGGAAGACAACATTGGCATTTAAATATGATACAGGTTTTTAAAAAAGAATAGGGCAAATATTTATTTATGGGTCTGAAAAAATTTCTAGGAGTATTTTTAAAAGTCATAACATAGGATATGTCAGATTTTGTGTAGAAACAGGGAGAAGCAATAATATATATTATTAATAATAACACTAGTAAAAATATTATAGTACTATTATTATAGTATTATATCATATATTTATATAATTATGTTATAAATTACACATTTATGTACTAAAGCTCTAAAAGGATTAAACTCACACATGTAGTTTACAGTGAGAACTTGGGGTGGGATGGAATGGGAAGTGGGATGGCAGGGACGAGGAAAGGTTTTCACAAAGCAAGTTTATGTGCCAAGCAGAGATGTTGTGCTGATTAAATAAAAACTAACAAAAAAAGTACAGTCTAATAGTAATCAAAATATTTTAATATCATTAAAATAATTGGATCTACTGTCTTATCTATAAAATTGATAAGTATTTTCTGGGAAAATATTCTCACTGCTGGCTAATGCAGCTTAAAAACTGTTGGCCTGGGTTGGGGGGTGTGACATGGCATTTCTGAAACATCAAGTGGTATTGGGAATTCAATAACATCAGGGACTTAGTCCCCTTCAATCCAGAAATTCCTCCCTTCAGAATCTGTTCCAAGGAAATAATCATAATATAAATTGAAAAAGAAGTAATGCAAGGTCAGCTAAAATTTGAATGTAAGAAAGGGAATTCAAAATGGAAAGGTTTAATGTTAACAACAGCAAAAAAGAATGTCTACATACCTTTCTTTTCAGGTTTTTCCTTTTCTTTTGTTTTTTCTTTGTCTTTTTCCTTTTCTCTGTGTGTGACTAGAAAGGAATAGATAAAACTTCATTTAAATACAAGGAATAAATGATAAGATAATTGCATGACAGTTTTGATGTCAAAAACTTTTCTGCTGCTTTTAGAGATTTTCCTTTAACTGACATGAGGGTTTTACATATTTGGAGGTTTAAGCTTCAACATAATTATAGATTTGCTTTTTATTTCTATTTTTATTTCATATCTAACCACAAACCAGTACCAAAAGTAGGTCTCACTGCAAAGATAAGCTATGCTTCAACTTCTCCAAGTCTTTAATTTCATGATTAGAAAATTAAAAATCATTGTAACTCCAAAAGAATAACAATTCTAGTATTGATATTAGATAAATGCCAGAAATCTGAGTACAAAATAGAGGGACATAGTCTTCTGAACCTGAAACTAAGTAGAATCAACCCAAATTGTATGTGTTAATCTTCTACAGCAATATTCTAGATTAAAATTTTTGAAAACATACTAGAATGAGATTACAATGTGAATAAATCTTAAAAAAAACAAAATTCAATGAGCTATAATCCAATTAATTATTACATCATTTGAATTAAAGTCATAATCTCACCCCATACTTTAGTCATAATTTGTATTAATTATCCAAACTAGAAGCATGGGATTCAACTCATATTTCTCTCTCTCTCTCTCTCTCTCTCTCTCTCTCTCTCTCTCTCTCTCTCTCTCTCTTTCTCTCTTCTTTTGTGTGTGTGTGTGTGTGCCTCTTCTTTTCATCAACTAAGCTGTTTCTATCTTAGCTTTTTCATATTTCTCTCATTCAACTTCTTTTATTTAATATTATGTTACCTACCAATT